TCTCAGCACACCCCTTGATACCCACTCGTTCCAGCCGGTCCTGACCCCCCCCCCTCACCACCACCGCCACCACCGCCACCACCCTGGATCCAAAGGGCGTTCGCCCTCTTCAAGCGCATGCTGCTGGAGGAGGGCCACGCCTTTGACGCCGCCAACCGCCCCATACCCCTGGGCTCGGACGAGAAGAAGGAGGCCGTGGCAAAGGCGGCCACAGCCTGGGAGCTGTACAGGGTCATAGGGTGAGCCGGGGGCCTCTGGGCGGGCGGGACCCTGCGTATCCACCATGCAATGCCGCGCGGCCCGCGGCCAGCGGCGCGGCGCGGCGGGTCCTCTTTGTTGGACCGTGTCTCGCTGGGGCCTCGACATCCTCGTGCCGTTGGCGCCCCTCACGGGCAAGGCGCGAGCCCGGCTAGCATGGCGCGCCATTGCGAGGCGAGGCGTGGCGGGCAGGGGGGCAGGTGGGGCGGGCAGGTGCATGCCCCCTCATTCCTCTGCTGCCCTCAACGCGCTCGCGCGCGCGCATAGTAACCCCAGCCGTGTTCTCATCACCTCAATCACAAGCGCAGCCCCTTGAACACACGTGCGCGCTTGCGCGCACACACACACACACACTCATGCACACACACACACACACACACACACACACACACACACACACAATCACTTTCGCAGCAAGGACTCGTGGGTGGTGGTGCCGCTGGCGTCCCTCTCGTCGCCCGGCCAGCCGCTGGAGGGCACACGGCTCACGCTGGTGCGGGTGCCGGGGCAGCCCGACGCCGCTGAATTCAGCATACGCACACCCGTCACGCCGCCCAGGTGCGCGCGGCGCGGGCCGGGAGCGCCCGGCGCGCTCGAGGGTCGCGGTTTGTGGGCCGCGACAGCTTGCGTTGGCTGCTGTGCTGTTGCCGGTCACGCTGTGCGTTCGCATGGCCGGGTTTGCGCGTTGACCGTGTGAGCACTCAAGTTTATCAAAACCCCACGACCACACAATCGATTGCATGCTCTCTCGTGCATGCACCCACGCTCGCGCGCACAATGCGTGTACGCATACGGCGCCTGCATGAGCAAGCCGTCTCGAAAGTCCATCAAACTCGCACACAACGTATTGCCTGCCACCTCCATCATTTTCAAAGGTGGAAGGCGTTTGACGCTGAGCTGGAGGCGGCGTGGGAGCGCCTCGTGGGGGCCATGGCGGAGGGCGACCAGGTCGCGGCGGCAAGGGGCATTCTGCAGGTGCGGCCGGCGCGCGGCAACCAGCCAACGCGGCCTGTGCAGTTCAGGGGCGGACGCCTCAACAAGGACCACGGCCCAATGTTGCGCCCGCCCCACCCTGCCACCTCCACTCATGGCCGAGATATACGCTTTGAACCCTCCAGGACCACACCGCCTTCAACACCACGCAACCCCTGTTTGGGAGCCGTCGCGCCCCAGTAACCACCTCCCCCTCAAAAAGCAACCCTCAGAGCGGCCGGCGCTTGCCCCGGCCCCTGCCCACCGCCCACCCAACAGTTTGCTTACTACTGGTACAACTTCATGCCCCTGGCGCGCGGCACGGCGGCCGTGGGCTACACCACGGTGCTGGCGCTGTTCTGGGCCGCTGGCATCCCGGTGACCGCTCACATCCCCAAGGACTACCAGGTGCAGTGTGTGTGTGTGCGCGCGCGCGTGTGTGTGTGTGTGTGTGTGTGTGTGTGTGTGTGTGTGTGTGTGTGTGTGTGTGTGTGTGTGACAAAGTGTGTGCGAGAGTGGCAAAGAGTGATCAAGAGGGTCTTCGTGTCCGAGAGAGAGAGTGTGTGTGTGTAGTGTGTGTGAATGTGTGTGCGCTGCCTGCGTCCTTGCGTGCATCCCCATGTGGACGTGCATGCAATGATGCAGAAGGCGTGCCTGGAACGCGAGCCAGGGCCTCTCAAACAAGAAGGTGGTGGTGGGAGCGGCTGGGCCACGGCCAGGTTGAATTTGCCAGTCGATGTTTTCCAAACGGGCTCTGGTCGCCGGACAAGCGTGACAAGCCTAAAAAGCTTGAGGATCGCCGAGGGCAGGCGACAACCAGTCTGCGTTTCAGCCACTGCCTTCCATATTTGTGTGCAGACGTGCGCGCAAACACACACACACACACTCTCTCTCTCTCTCTCTCTCTCTCTCTCTCTCTCTCTCTCTCTTTCTCTTACACCCACACACACACTCTTACACACACACACACACACACACACACACGCCCCTTCACCAGGTGGACTGGGAGGCCATCCTGTCGCAGCACCCTGACGCCTTCATCGAGCGCCTCGCGCGCTGGTTCCTCCCTGACACAGTCCGAGAGGCCCTCGGCGGCCCACCCAGCAGCGGCGGCGGCGGCGGCGGCAGCAGCGGCGCCTCGCCCCCCGCACGGACGTCCTCAGGCGGCGGCTCGCAAGCTGCATCCCCTCGCGGCGACGGCGGCGGCGGCGGCGGCGGCCGGCCGATGTTTGCGGGGCCGCGCGAGCTGCCGCAGGTAGTGGACCTGCCACGCGCGGGGGAGGTGCTGGCGACGATGCGGCGGCGGATCGAGGCGCTCAACGGGCCGAGCGCGCCGCGGCTGCAGCTTTGAAGGGGCCGGGGGGCAGCTGGGCGCGGCGCGAGGCGGCTCCAGATGTGGGGCCGCGGGCCTGGTGAGCGGCATGGCATTTGCTGTGGAGCACAAAGCGTAAATTGTGTGACTTTGATGTTTACTGTTACAAAGTAACAGTAAAAAAACCTCAAATCAACTGTGCAGCAGACGAAGGGGGCCTTCACGTTTCACAAAATTGAGCAGGCAAAGCAGCGCAACAAGCGCTGTGCTGTGCTGCACGCTGTGGCTTGTCTTACGGGGCACAGCTGGCGGGCGCAGGAGAGGGGGCTTATGTACTATTGCAGGCACCCTTCCCACCCTCCTGACACAGCTGACCCGTTGTGCAAAAGCTGACATGGGTGAAATCAGCGCTGCGCTTGCCCTGCGCGAGACGGTTCAAACCAGTTGCGATGCCTTTTTACAAATCACATCAGCATCCAGGCAGGCTAAGGCAAATACGTAGCTGGGGACTGTCCTTGGCTGGGAAACCGTCACCTAGGTACGCGTGGCCAGCAGCGTGCTTGGGCCCGTCTGGCAAAGTGCCGTCCCGGCAGTGTCGAAAGCAATTGCTGGAGCTGACAACTCAGCTGCCCCTCCTGGGGATCTTGCCTCAGCAGACTCGCACGGCCACTTCGTCCGTTGATGTGTGCGACATCTTGATAATCAATTGATAATTAAAACGTAGACGCATGTGTTCCCTGGCGGGTGCTGTCAGAAACCTTACCGGCAGTTTCGTGAGAGTGAAGCAACTGGCGAGTACATCCTGTTCGAGCATCGACTTGTAGGACCATTTCGAAACTCATTAGCTGCGCCCGATTATTTTTTACAACGAAATACTCGTCTACAGACACCATGCTGCACGTCCCGGAGTTCAAGGCCTCCAGGCCCGTTGCGAGGCAGCCTATGTGAGCTGACACTCAACGTGTGGGGCCTCTGCATGCATTGTCATTGTTCTTCAAGCCCGCTCTCACGCTGTCGTTGGCACTCGCAGGGCCTGGTACCGGGGCGAAGGCGGCGGGCGCATCCACCCGCCAGAGGAGGCAGGAAATGCCGAGACGTCCGCCGTCGTTTCATGGAACGAGCTGGGCAGCACGGGCGAATTTTTTTGCCATCAAGAGCCTATCGAGGCACTTCCTGGAGAATGGCGACAAAGGCAAGGTGAGCAGACGCACGGATGCACCTGCCGCCAACACGTACGCAGCTGCCAAACACATGAGAGCCGCTGTGCCCATGTGTGCCCGCCGACAAGCCCGGGCAACAATGCGACGGAGGTCCCCCAGGCTGAAGTTGTTTTCTTCGAGCACACATCCTTGTCGTTTATGCGGGTGCCTGCATGCTTGGGTCATACGTACGGCGGGCTGCCGCACTTCTGTGCCCAATCCCACCAGGCGCAGTAGCCTCCTCAGGCCCCATCCCATGCTGTCAGGCGCGCGTGCGCGCGCTCCATGCGTGCCCGGTGCCTCCACAACTTCTATGAAGACCCTTGGCTGCTCCTTTTCTATGCCTTACTTGCACCTGCTTCTCTACATCCTACCCCGTGCAGGCTGCGCTGGAAGCTGAGGTTAAAATCCACCGGCGCATGTCCCCGCCGGCCGTGCCCGCCCTGCGTGATGTCATACACGACGCCGAGACCGGCCAGGTGCACCTCGTGTTTGACTACGCCGGCCCCCCAATCCTCGACGCCGTCGACCCCGGCGTCACGCCCGAGGCTGCCGCGCGTAACGGGGCCCTGGCCGCCGACGCGACGCTGTCGCTGCTGACGGCGCTGTATGAGCTGCACGGGGCGGGGTACTGCTACACCGACATGAAGCCCCAGCAGATGCTGTGGGACGCCTCCCGGGAAGCCGAGGAGTTTCGCGCAAAGCTGGCGGACTTTGGGGCAGGTGAGGGTGCGGGTGTCTGGGCGCATTATTGGCCATCTATTGCAGGGGCGATCCCTGAGTGCAGGGTGGCGGGGCGGGGATTTGGAAGCTAAGGAAGAACGGCGTGCTTCTGGGGAAACCAGCGCCCTGCCTTGAGTTTAGACATGAGGGTTGTATTGCTAATTCAGCGTGCGTCCATCAATGACTCTCAGTGCAAAAAGCATCAGTCCTTGCAGCAACGTCCGATTTGTGCAACAGTCATCCCTGGCGCTTAGACTGCGGTGTGCGTGGCCCCATGCACACTAGACACGGATCGGGGTCCAACCAGCTGCCCTGGCTGCTCCAATTCCCCACAGTGACCAAGATCGGCTCAGGCGTCATGCCGGCCTGCACCTTTGCCTACATGGCGCCGGAGGGCCACGCCATCCTGGCCCGGGGCATCAGCTGCGACGGCATCAGCAGCCCAGACGGCATCCCCTCCGTCCTCGGCCCCGCGTATGACGCGTGGGGCGCGGTGCTGACCATCTGCACCATCGCCCTCGGCGGGGTCAACCCCTTCCTCCCGCCCTGGTACGCCGCTGGCGTGGGCCCCGAGCCCTACCCCAGCATCGCCGCCTGCCCCTGGAACCCATACAACGCCAAGATGGTCCTAGAGGACCCCACTGCATACGAGCGCGCATTTGGCTGGGAGCTTCTCGACCTTGACCTGCAGGAATTTATTCGCTTTGGCCTCGACCCCAACCCCAAGGAGCGCCCCACGATCGAGCAGCTGGCGTGCACCGCATGGGGGCGCCGCTGCTTCCAGATGATGTATCCGAGCGCCGCAGACGCCGACGACGGCGCCTGCGTCGGCGACGCCGCCGCTGACGGCGCCTGCGTCGGCGGCGACGAGGGCATCAGCCGCGACGAGGCCCCGTCTGATCTGAGGGAGGCGTCGCACGAGGAGCGGCCAGCTGTGCCGCCGATGACCACGCAGCAGCAGGGCGACGCAGAGCACGACGGCTCAGTCATGCGCGCTGCCCCTCCGCTCGTCGCGGCTGAAGGGGCCGAGCCACGCGCGTCAATGCGGGGCAGCACCAGCAACGCCCAGCAGCCGGCGGCGCGGCAGATCGAGCTGCTCCAGGCGGAGGCGGCAGTGGGTGAGCGCGCCCTGGCGGGCTCCAGCCAGCCCGCCGCGCGCAGCAGCGCCACCGCTGCCGCCGCCGTCCTCCCGCCGGCCGACGAGCTTGAGGCCGTCCGGTCAGAGCGCGCCAACAATGACGCGCTGCGGCAGCTGGCGGACGAGCGGCGGGAGGACCGCGATCGCGCAGAGCGGCTGGACCAGCGGATGGACGAGATGATCGAGCAGCTCAAGGCCCTGACAGCATTGGTCGCCAAGATGCAGGCCGACAGTGCAGCGGCCAGCAGCAAACATCCTCTGGGGGGCCGCCTGCTGTCGGGCGACGGGTCCAGCTGCACGGCGTCTGATGTGCGAACGCCCTCAGGCTCCGCCGGCGCCGGCCCTGCGCGCATGAGCCGCGGCGGCGGCAGCCGGCGCAGCGGCGGCGGCAGCCGGCGCAGCCTCCATAGCAGCATCTCCAGCTGCAGTGGCAGCGCCGAAGGGGCGTGCAAGAGCACCGGCAAGAATGCCGGGGCGCGCGTGCTCAATCAGATGTGGGGGGACGTCAAGGCGGCAGGTCGGGCCGTGGCGGGCTGGTTTGAGCAGGCCCTGGCGAGGCCTTCAGGCATGAAGGTCTGCAGCCGCGCCGCGCCCACGGACGCCGTTGCTGCCGCTGCCGCCCCAAAGCCGAGGCGGTTTCACAGCATCTGCTCTGTGATGGCCCTCGTCTGAAGCATACATAAGCATGAATAGTTCTGTTGTTGTCCCTGCTTGCAGCCGTCCCATGTGCGTGGCAAGCTCGCTCAGCACGGCGCTCTGCAGCGTGCGCCGGCTCCTCTCCTCCCTCGCTGCCTTCGCCTTTTGTGTCTTTTCAGTCTGTCTTGCTTGCCGCTTCAACTGTTTGTGTACCATCGTTGATGTAGAATCGCCTCATTTCTAAGGGCAGAGTTTTGAGCTCGGTACGACTAATCGCCTTGTAACTCATCACTGCTTACCACTCCCTCGCTCCCACACTTGCACGCAGCAGCAATTTCCCCGTCGTGACTGCTTCGTTTCCCGGGCGGATGTATTGAGAATCATTTTGTCCTGCAAGCCGCAGATACGTCAGCAGCGGCCCACACGCCCGCCCGCGTCTGCGTCGCGTTCGTGGCGCACAGGTCCAGCCTGCAAATTGTGCGTGTCACTGGTGAAGGTTGCCTTGGTTGCTGTCCCTGTCGAATGCCATGGTGTGCAATTTGATCAGGTCCGCCCGGCAGTGGCGGCACAGCCTACCACACATTGACTAGAAGAGGCTGCTTCACAAATGTAGGGCAGGGCCACTTGCGAGCGCCAAGCTACAGGCTAGCACCCTGCAGGTAGTGCGGTCAATGCAGTCAAACAGGTCAATTGCAGTGCTTCACATGGTCACACACCACACACCCAAGAGGGAGTGCCGGGACCATGCAAGCGATGTTGCGCACGGGCAACGGGCTGGGTGGTGCGGCATCATACATGCATGCATCAGGACTGCGCAACGGCAACAATCCGTCCAATGAGGCGCCTTCAGGGAGTGCGGGCCTTCTACCCACGTTGCATAAACCCAGTTCACCCACATTCATCTTTTTCTCCTCGTAGAATCGTACCAGGCTCGTCGCCGAGATCTAATCGTGGCACGCAGTTCAGTCCACACCGCGCACGAGCCCGCGATGCAGAGCACAACGTTTAAAGCCCAACAGCGGCTCCAATGTGGGTTGCAGGCTGCTCGTTTCGGCGAAGCACTGCGCAAAGGCGTGGTGTGCGCGAACGCGCCTCTCAGCTGGCGCGTGTTCGTCCCTGAAGGTTGCGGCACTGCTGCAACCGTGTGGGCCTCACGCACCCCGCATTATACATTCCTTCAGGCGGCCGGTCGCGCGCGGCACGCGTCGCCGTGAGCGCCAAGAGGGCGTCAGGTGGCAGCAGCAAAGGGGCCGAGGCCAAGCCGCAGGTGGCGTACGGCACCGACTGGTACACGCAAACCAGGGAGGCGGCCAGGCCCAAGCGGACAGTGCGCGAGGAGATCGGTGAGAGCAGCAGCGGAAACCCCCCCCCCCCCCCCCCCGCCATCAGACGCC